AGCACCTCCAAATCCGAGGCCATGGTTCTCAGTCGGAAAAGGGTGGCTTGTTCCCTTCAGGATGGTGGAGAGTCCCTGCCTCAAGTGGAGGAGTTCAAGTATCGTGGGGTCTTGCTCACGAGTGAGGGGAAGGATGAAACGGGAGATTGGCAGGCGGATCAGTGCAGCTTCTGCAGTAATGCGGTCAATGTACCGGTCCGTCGTGGTGAAGAAGGTGCTGAGCTGTAAGGCGAAGCTCTCGATTTACTGGTCGATCTACGTTCCGACTCTCACCTATGGTCATGAGCTTTGCGTCATGACCGAAAGGGCAAGATCCCGGATACAGGCGGCCGAAATGAGCTTCCTCCGCAGGGTGGCCGGGCGCACCCTTAAAGATAGGGTGAGGAGCTCGGAAAATCGTGCGACCGCACCAACTCAGTGAGGTAAGGTGGTGCCAAACCATTAAGAGCCTTAAAAACAAAAATCAATAGCTTAAAATTGCCTTCAACTGCTGCCCGATCCACTGTGCACCAGAGGGAAGTCTGGGCATTTTTGCTTAGACTGCTGCCCCTGCGACCCGGTTCCGGATAAGTGGAGGAAAATGGATGGATGGATGGATAAAAGTGCAGTGACTTTAGAAACAGTTTTTATTTTAATGAGATTTACTTTGATTGTAATCATTTACCTTAAAACAGTGATAAACACAGCACTGCCTACTTAATATGCGTAACTGAATTTCTGTAGCTTACTACGGGACATGCCGTGGGTTTTTTTCAATGGTTTTTAAACCTTTGCAGAAATGTGACCCTCTGTTGGGATAAAATGATTTTGCAACCCTGCCCAAAACGTTTAAGTTTAGGACAGCATAATATCACAGTAAATCTAAATGTTTAATTTAACCAGGGTGCAGGCTCTCGCTTTAAACTGGACACTGTCTGTGGCTTCATCCTGTCTTCTCTGCTGGAGACATACATGTACTACTGTAAAGGAGCTGCTGGTCTCAGCCTCCAAGGTCAAAAGAATTCATCTCATTGTCATTTACATAGTTCATTTGCTTCTGCTGTTCACGACATAAAATTTGTATTTGTTTGCTTCTTGTTCACATCAACTCACTAAAGTCAGCAGAATGAGCACCGTATGGGCTTAGTGGGTGAATAGCACCAGGCATTTTAACCACAGGGCACGGGAAGAGTATTTCTGCAAGTTTGTTGTTGGATTCTGCTTGTTCGACAGGTGTTTGATTAATTACTTTCCATTAAAGTTACTTTTGGATTCTGTTGCACATATCAAGCATTGACAGAGATGTAAAATACGATCTCGTCTCTGCTCCGCTGCGTCTCTATGGGTACCCCTCCGCCCCCCGTCACAGATCAGAGAAAAAGTTCAGTTTACTTTTGTTATCATTTCTCATCTCATAATATCCTCGAGGCACTGAAATTTCTTATCCACCACCTAAGAACCTGATCAGCCAACGTGATGTTAACGTTATGTTGCTGTTAAGTGGTATCAGTGTGTAGTACCAGACAGCTTTTACAAGTACAAGTACTAGGGGGTGGCATCAGACCCAGGTGCATCCCTACTAAAGACTGTAAAGGCAGAAATGACCGGCTGCTGCTGGGATTTAAACTAACTACCACAAGAAGCTTAGATGCTAGTGCTGGTGCTATCAGTTTGGGAGTGCAGACTGACTTTCTGTAGACTATACTTAGTGAAATGGCATCTTTACAAAGCATCTGCTGTGTTTCTCGTCTGCGCTCAGCACAGGTCATATGCACATCTGGCAACAAATATCACAGTGCCATTTATCCAGCTTTAGACATCCAAACCATATCCTGACAAGGAAACTGTGGCAAAGCGTAACCCCGCTTTGCCACAGTTTCCTTGTCTTGTGCTTGAATTTCTTCATAGCAGCTCATTTTAAGTTTTCAACATGTGTTTTCTTTCTTTGATGTGGCTCTACATGTGTTAACTATGTAAGCCTGTTACTATAGTAATACTGTGTAGATGAGGGCTGACCCAAACGCAGAACAGATACATTTATCATTAATTATTCATCAGTTAATCACTGTTATTTTAGGAATTGCTTTGTGATTATTACTGAGATCATTTTCTTGTCTACCCATAGACTTAAGCATTAATAATGTCTAAGAAAAGCATATGCTAAAGAGCATATGCATTGTGTAAAGACACTTGACAGCACATAATTTGATATGAAGTGCAAAATTACTTTCTATGACACCAAGATACAACAAAACACCAATCAGGTTTGTGTAAAAGCATATCTGTTTACTCCACACAGACACACACAGTTATGACTGTTTATAGTTGTGAGAACACTCATTGACATAATGCATTCCCTAGCTCCTAATCCCAACATCACAACTAAAAACCCTAATACCTAACTTAACCCATCAAAAAGCCCATTGAAGCTGTCAGGACTGGCTAAAATGCCCTCACATCGATGGCAATATTAAAAAATATGTCCATGCAATTCTAAAGATGCATACAATGACACACAAATGTGCAGAAAGCTGCAACCTGGTAATTTAGACTGAATTTTAGAGATACACCAATCAATCAATGATGACTGGAAATGTCCAGTTTTTACTTTGATTGGCCGTGACCGGTGGCTGGCCGATCACTCTGATTCGGAGCTGATCACATTTAGGCTCAACCGTTCACATCGTGCACACAGTGGCACAGACCAAAAGTGTAGAATGTGCAGCATGCAACACCTCGTGCGCACCTTGAGCGAGGCTCGCGCTTGTGTCTGTACCAGGTGTGTATTCACTCATGGATTAGAAGCCCCTGGTGTACAAACAGCTCACAGAGGAGCCTACAGAAACACCTCGGAGAAGGGAAACTATGTCCAAATCTCTGACAAATAGCACACAATGAGGGAATTACTGGCTACACATGAAACACATGTATATGTACAGTGTATCCAACCCATGATAAAACACAGCAAATAAAAACTACACACAATTCAAAACGAACTGTGTGCTCAGTAGGACTGATGTAACAAACATTCTTCTGTTTCCGTTACCTGCTGCATATATTTATATTTGGAGAAATACAAAAAAAAATAGTGATAGAAAGAAATGTTAATCTTTAATACAAAGTTTTATTTTTATTACAATTTAATTTTTCATTAAAGAAAAGTTATAAAATGTTTGGGTATGCTGACAATTTAAGCTTTTAGAAAGAAATAAAATTGAAACCAGCCAAAATAGGAATTGGCAGGTCAGACCTAGATAGATAGATAGATAGATAAATAAATAGGCCCAGAAAATTGCAATTGGTGCATCTCTACTGAATTTCATTCTGAACTGCCACACAGCATGTTGCTAGGCTGCAATTCACTTAGAGGAGATTTTGTGCACTAGGTATCTGAACAAACTTTAAATCGCAATCCATTCTATAATGATAAAGGAAAAACTGAATTAGCTTACAGTAATACATGGCTTCGCTAGGTCATATTTCAGTCACCTCTATGCGGACAGCTGTAGTGATGTTTGCCCTGTATCAATCATTGACAGATACAGAAATTGATCTCTAGAAGTAGCTCCTGACACAGCAGTGTCAGGTGTCACAGCATGTCCTTAGCTTTTTCTATAATACAGGTTAAAGAATTCCTTAATTTAAATCCAGATCACAAACAGAGGGCTGAAACTATAAAACAATATTTGCTTATCATAATTCAATCTCATCACAATAAATTGTAGACAAGGATGCTATGCAAAACATTTATAGCACAAAATGCAAAAGTGCTTGACCAGATTCAGAAACAACAAACACCACAGCCTGCTGAGCAACATGCTCTGGGTTCTACTGTTCACAGCTCTCTGCAAATTAATGGCCACTAATTAAGTAATTGCTTGCATATGAAATGTTCTATGTCAACATGAAATATGAGAAATACTTTTATGCTCGATGAGGGGTTTAAAATCACAGATCACGTGCTGATAACTGACTGGCAAACATATTATGACCAGCTGAATAAAACCTAAAGGTATTTCATTTAATATCATAAAAGACTACAAAAACAAGTAAATGGCCACATTTAAGAATCTGAAAACAGCGACTTCCTGGCTAAACAGAACATAGCTTCAGTTTTCAAAAAAGTTGTGGGTTAATTTTGTGTCACTTCCTTTCATTTCATTAATATCTGGATGGGCGGTGTAGCCTGAGATATTAAGTAATGTCCCACTGTGGTGACAGCTCCTGAAACCCATCGCTGGATACAATACTCAGAACAAGGGGTCCAGTTTTCTTCAAAAGTATCCTATCCAGATTTCTGGCTATGCCTTAGTCCTGCACTGACTTCACAATCTTGACTACTGCCCAGTGTATTTATCAAATACAACCTACCTTCAGCGCATATTTGTCTCCTGTCTTCTTATAGAAGATTTCGAGCACCTTGCCATTGATGCCCAGCCCCAGCACCTGGCAGGTCACCTTGTAGTCGTCTGTTATGGCGTTCTTCTTGATTAGTAATGTGGGTCTGGCGTGGAAGGACAGGAACTGGCCCGGCTGCTGGCCCGCCGGGTTGGGAAACAGTGCCATGTTCTGTGCGTTGGACAGCATGCTATTGGTCTAGGCTGAGAGATGAACAACAGCTACCCCTCAATGCTAACGTTACTCCTCTGCTTTTTCCTTATAACGCACACCCAATCTTCTTCCTTGGTTAGCTGGCCCCTGAAACTGTTCGCTGTGTAGCTGCCAGCCCTGAGAATAACTGGCAGCACTTCTGAAGTTACAGGTTAACAAAGTCACTTGGTTAGCCGATAAAAACTAAATTAGCTAGCTGCTAGCATGCTAGCTCGATCTTATTCTTGACCTGTGATTCTCGGCTAACAACTTAGCTATCGGTTAGCTTATCCATCTCCGGTGGTGTCCACCGGTCCCTCAAAGAGCACTTCGTCAACTTTTTTTTAAAACATCCCATAAATCGGGTACGAGGCGGAGTTTCTGAATTAATAACAAAACACTTTGCGAGTGATGTTTAAAAAAATGACAAAAACACAAAACGAAAGACAGACAACAGAGAAATAACTCCGACGCCAGTGGCACACCAAACACACTTCACTTTCCGACAGACAGACAGACACCCAGCCGGAGCAGGTTTTGCCACTGACGTCATAGCCGGGGCTTTTCGATGCTTAAAGAAGACGTACAAACAAACTTGAAGCTGAGGGGACACAAGGCATAAGTTTGGTAAATAAAAAAAGAAAATGCTAGGGTCTGATTAAACTCACAAATGTTTTATGCTTTTTCACTTTTTTTTTAATTCAGTCTGTTATTTGGCCTTCATATCACCCCAGTGATGGCATGGATGCAATACTGAATGGGCCTATGGGGCACAGGCTCAGGCAGGGCCCCCTTGGGCCAGAGCCTCTGTTTGAAGTGCCCGTTAACACCTCTTACTGGAAAGTCAATCAAATGACTCGAAAAAGACGCATAACCACAAAGAGATACAAAACTACAAACTATAAAACAAACTATAAAACTATAAAACAAAAATTAATGCTGAGTGACTACAATGATAAACAACTATAGTCACAAAGCTCCTGCAAAGACACAAAATGACTGCAAAAAGTTTCAAAACAAGTACAGAGGCTAAAATCAGCTACAGATGGAGGCCAAACAACCACAAAGAGTCACAAAAATTCTACAAAGGCAAGCAAAGCAATTTAAGACCCATAAATGACAAATAAAATATCAGAATCAGAATCAGCTTTATTGGCCAGGTGTGTCGGACACACGAGGAATTTGACTCTGGTACATCGGCTCTCAATGTGCATGTACATATCCCCATGCAAGGGGCAAGTAAACAGCAAACCATTATAAGGCTGTGTAATATAACAAAATAAGCAGTACTGACAAGCAACAAACAGTGCAAACAAAAATAAGCAGTATAAACAGGCAGGAAAGAATGCAGACACACAAAGGAATGCTAACTGAAATTAGATAAACAAGAATAAAAATAGAGCGCTTAAAAACAGAGACCTGTACGGATCTGTATGAATCTGTACAATGTATATTTACAGGTATTGCACTGAGGGTTATTGTCCAGTCATACTGTCGTGGGTTAAGTGTTCATCAGAGTGATGGCCTGGGGGAAGAAACTGTCCTTGTACCTGGTTGTCTTGGTGTACAGTGACCTGTAACGCCGTCCAGAGGGGAGGGGTTCAGACAGGTTGTGTCCAGGGTGTGAGGGGTCTGCAGGGATCCTCTCCACCCTTCTTTTGACCCGTGAGGTGTACAGGTCCTCCATGGAGGGCAGGCTCACACCAGTGCCCTTTTCTGCAGTCCTGACTATCCGCTGAAGTCTGTACTTGTCCTGTTTGGTTGCTGAGCCAAACCAGACAGTGATGGAGGTGCAGAGAACAGGCTCGATGATTCCTCTGTAAAACTGTATCAGCAGCTCCTGGGGCAGGTCGAACTTCCTGAGCCGACACAGGAAGTTCATCCTCTGCTGTGCCTTCTTGGTGATGGTCCTGATCCTGCCCCCCCCCCCCCATCCTGAAGTCCACTGTCATCTCCACTGTTTTGAGTGTGTTCAGCTCCAGGTTGTTGCAGCTACACCATAGGACCAGCAGCTCATCACCATCTTGTATGAGACCAATGACCGTTGTATCATCAGCAAAGTTAAGGAGCTTGACAGAGGGGTCCTTCGAGATGCAGTTGTTGGTGTAAAGTGAAAACAGGCACAGTGAGCTGGGTCAGTTTGGAGTGGAGGATGTCCCAGATGATGGTGTTGAATGCAGAGCTGAAATCCACAAAGAAGGCCTGTGCATATGTCCCTGGGGAGTCGAGGTGTTGCAGGATGTAATGCAGTGCCATGTTAACTGCATCATCCACTGACCTGTTTGCCTGGTAGGCAAAATATATACAGGCGAAATATATTACAGTTGTGTTTGTAGTCATTTTCACCTTGTTCAGTCTGGTCCTCTTGCTTCATTGCATAAGGGGTGGGGACCTTACATATCTGTGCCCAGGGGCTCACTGTCTCAGTATCTGTCCAATAGTGACGGAATACAAGTGTTTACTCAAGGTCTGCTTCTGTACAAATTTGAGTTATTTGCAAATTATGAATTTCTTGTGCTGCTTTATGCTGCACTGCATTTCAGAGAATATTGTAGGCTACTTAACATTTGATGACTACAGCTACAGTGGTACACACAAAGCATGACAAAATGTGATGCATTGTTAGATTTAAAATAAAAAGTAGAGCTGAAGCTGATTTTGATTGCTGAGCCCAAGTCAGTTCTCATGCAACACTGCTAAACATTTCAGGGTTCCAGCTTCTCAAATGCGTTTTCCTTGTACTGATTTTAATTACAAAACAAGGCATTGAAGGTGTTACTCTGGGCTCTAGGCAATTGTGATGTCACCATTTTCAAGGTCAATCAAGAAATAAGCAGCAAGTTAATCCATCCATTCATCAGCTATACCTGCTTCCCCCCATCCCAAGGGTCACAGGAGGCTGGAACCTTCCCAGCTGATCCAGGTATCAAGAGGTGGAGTAAACCCTGGACAGGTCATTGTCAAGCACAGTTTACCAGATTAATCCATAATGAATAGTCAGTTGTATCTTAGATAAAATTCAAAATCAGATTCACCCCAGTCTGTTGCAACAGACTGGCCACACATCTGATAGTGTTGTTCACTCTGATATCAATAATGCTTGCTCTATTTTGCTGCTAGTTCTTACTCATTTGCAAAGGACATCTGAAATTCGAACGCAGCTCCTGTTGTGGCCACTAGATGGTAGACCAGTATAAACAACTTTAGAACCCAATCTTTGCCTTGAATGATGGACCTCAACTCAGTATTTGCAAAGTGCAGCATGAAGCTGATTAATAGGCTTTGCCACACAAGCACTGTCAAGAAAAATTATTTTGATGTGATATAATGTAAGGTACCCTGTGATCTCCAGTGGTTTGACACTGAATTGTCTTGCTGCAATACATTCCAAATACCTGACTGTCAAAATGGTGAGATTTGAAAACACTGACCCTGTTAAAACTTCATTTCTTTGATGGTGTATAGCATTCACTGTTGAAACACCTCAGTATGTAGAGTAATAACAGCCGTGCACATCAAGATGTTGCTAACCTAATCTGAAATCCTGAAACTCATTTTCAAATACATATGTTATGGTTTATTGTAAACCAAATACATTCACAATAATCACCACAATGCGATTAAAAACAACCAGATCAAGGTTATTTTAGTAGACTTTCAAAAGTGCCAAATCAGCAGAAGACATGCTACCATCGTTTACCAGATGAATAGTGCTTCCCATATCAAATAAACTCATCTTGATATTTACAATTGATGGGATGCTCCTTTCATAAGATTTAGCAAAACATAATGTTTGATGAGTGTGTTGTGATGCATATTGGTTTAGGAACCAAAATGTTGACCAGGACTAGACAGAACTTAGACAGCCTTTATTAACAGACAAGAGTACGAGAACACAAGTGTAACTGTGGTACCGAGAGCACTCAGGTGAGTCAGGCAGGACCTCCGAAAGGTGGCAAGCAGAGGCAGGCAGAGTGGAGCTGAGGCTGCACCAGGGAGTAGAGTCAGGACCAGAGCCAGGCTGTGCCGAGGAGGTGCACAGGTGAGTAGCCGGGTAAGGTGACGACAGATAGGTAACAGCATCACTGGCAAAACAGGAACTCACAGATAAGGTGGCAGAGTCAGGAGAGTTGACAGCATGCGGGTGTCGTCAGGAGCAAACCAGACAGAAACCAGAAGCACAGGTGAGTGGCAGATGAAGACTCACATAGTATACTGACATCATGAGGAGCAACGCAGTAGGATTAAGAGAACAGAATGAGTTTCATGCAGATCATCATAACATCAATGGACCAGCAAGACTGAGGGAAAGGTAAGGTATATAAGGGCTTGGGACCGGCACAGAAGCCACTGGCGTAAAACCCTTGTGGCTAAAAGTTCCCCAACTGGGATTTGAACCCGGGCTGCAGTGATAGTGCTGAATCCTAGCCACCAGGGACTATAAAGAAATCATATAATCCCCTAAATATGCTTTGCTGGCAGTGTGGAGGAGTCTTTTTGCTTTGTTTCCACTTACATTTCAGTATTATTACCCTCGGTTAGCACATCACATGTCCTTGTGGATTTAATATGTACTGTATGTATGTATATGAGTACACAGGAACAGACACACACAGGCATACAATGTGATAGAGGGCTCTGAAACTCTGATATTGGAGAATGTTGGCAGAGTTTCACAGCTTTGTGCTGATAAATTAACACAAAGCTGCTGAATTACAGTTACTTTGCACAGCTGCAGGTGTCTTTATATCTGCTCCCCAGACACTCAGGATGACCTGTTTATTACAGCAGGGAATGTGTTTCATGGCCCCAGTGTTTGTTCTCTTCATTTACTGTATTTACAGTATCACACTAAGTGTACATGGAAGGTTTCTGTCATTACTGATGGATTATGCACCAGTGTCCAAAGGTTTGTCCTGGTCTACAAGCATCAGTAATGCATGGCCTTTGCACACTGCTACAAAATCTGGCATGCTGACATTTTCTTTTTCTCCACTCTTCCCCTGACACCATCTCTTGTTTCACTGTCCTTCTTTTAACTTCTCAGGGGCAGGATGTGCAGCTCCCTTTATTTTTCCCTGTCATCCCTCTGTTCTCCATTAGTGTGCAAAAGTCAAAGCGAGTTTGGGTCAGTTATTTCAGGCTCGCCAGAACTCGTCTTTCTTAGGATAATCCTTCATCGCCACCGGGACTGAAACCCTAGCTGGCTCTTGATATAGACCAATGGTCAGCACTGGCTCTGATATAGGATTCTAGCACCTGAGCACTCACAAGCCTCCCACCCAACATGGGACCTGTTGAACCTGCTCACCCCTCTGATGCACACAGACACACACACATCTTATGATCCTCTTGTATGCTCTCCCACTCTCTCTCTTTTCTCTTTTTCTTTCTCTCTCTCTCTCTCTTATTGCTATGTAAAGCACCAAGAACCCATACTTACATATGAACTCATTTTACCCTGCTTTATCTGCATCTTTCAACCACTGCAGTGCCTTTGTTTGTACATGGCCTATCATAACTTTTCCTTAAAAAGAGATGGCAGAAACTAGAAACC